TTTATAGCAAAACCTGAATTTAAAATTAAATAGAATATCTATTAAAACTTCTACCTTAGAACTATCACCCCAATAACTTAAATCCTCACTGTGTTCAATAACAGTGTTTATTTTTCCAGCATCACTTGTTGAAACCCCTGTAGTCTTTGTCCCCATCTCAGCCATTTCCGAGAGATTGTCATCTTTTGTTTCTTGTTCAATTTTCTCAAGCTTCCGCTCATCATCTTTAGATTCCTTCCTCCCACATGTTTTTCCATCCTATAAAAGTCATGGTTAATACCATTTCTAGCAGTCTCATATAACAAAAAGATGTAGTACAAGTAAGAGATCTCACTCTCTCTTTGTATTTCAGTTCTTTCTCTTCTGTATCAACACATAACTTCTCCTTACGTTCTTGTTGCTGTTTCTTTTCCTTGTATTCTCGTTGCTGCTTCTGTGCTTCCTCAAGACGCTTCCTTTTTCTTTCTTTCTCCTTAATTTCTTCTTCCTCTCTCTGTCTCTTCCTCTCTGCCATTTCACCTTCCTTTTTCTTCCGTATTTCCTCATCCTTTTTCTTTTGCATCTCCAATTGTTTCAACTTTTCTTGCTCTTGCCTTTCACGCTCCAGCTTCAAGGCTTCCTTTTTCATCTTACGTTCCTTCTCTTTCTTCTCAGCAAGCCGCTTTGCAGCCTCAGCAGTTTCCAGGGCTTTCACCTTAACATCCCTTTTCCCTATCAGAGAAGATAGAAAGATCCATTACTTCTATCCAGTCAAATTAAATGTACAAGATACTAATGTTCTCAGCACAAACCATCCTGGAAACAAATAAGTAAAAGGACTCATGCTGCAAATCAAATTCCAACAACATAAATGGGGACCCTATTGAACCCCAATTTCTTCTAGAGAATGTTGGAAAATCACCAAAATTTTTATGACGCAAAATCATCACTACGCTTAGCAACTTCCAAATGCCAAATGTGTCAGCTGCTGTCATTTTAAAACTGACTCGAAAAATTCAGAAAGCTACAATGAAATAAAATGTCCACCAAGTAGTTATCTAGCTATTAAAATTCATCGGCAGCTGCATTAAAGATCTATAAGTACATAACAGTATTTAAGATTTTTGGAAGAACAAAAATTTATGGAGATAGAATATGTACGCCAATGGCAAGAAGAACCCAGAACAGACTAAAAAATCTGTAACTGGAGAAACACAAAGTTAGGCATCCATTCCAATATCTAGAAAAAAAAATAAGACCAACTTTAGCAGTTAGCATTTGTGCCATGACTAGGCAGGGGCAAAAGCGAAAGAAAAAAAGAGTAAAGAACTACCTGTGGTGACAGCAGGGGCCTTTTTTTGCTGCACAAGTGGAACAAATGAAGTGATATTGGAGACAATGTTATTGCACTTCGACTCCCTCTCTGATAAGCTCAGGCCTTGTTTTCTCAAACTTGTTTTTGAAGATAGCTTTGGCTTACTCAACTTATTATTAAGTGATTCAATGGCTTTATGAGCACCGCTTGCTCCAAGCAATATACTCCGATTATTCTCCTTCCCTTTATTGGTATTTCTTCTTTTGCTTCTATTCTGATTTCGAAGCTTTGGTTTGATCTTATTACAGCTAAGTTCCATATTTATAGAATCTAGACTAGGTCTCTCAATAGGTATCTCAGCCTCATAAATTGATGCAGGTTGGTTCAAGTTTTCCTCAATGTAGGAGAGAGGTTTCCTATTAGTAGAGCCAATCATCGGTTCTAAGCAAAAATCTTCTGGTAACGTGTCGGCTGCCTCATCTGCATTCTCATTTTCTTCAGTAATGCAAGGAAGCTCTGAATTTAAGCTTCCTCGCTTCTCAGAACTGCCAGACTTTGATGTGTTTCTATCCCATAACTTCCTTGCTTGGAGGTGTACAAGGTTTTCTTATATCCCACAAGAACTCTGAA